GACAGGGAGTGAAGGACCCGCCGCCGAAGTGCCGCCGAAGACTGAAGCGGGCCGAATGAGCTGCCGCCGAAGTGCCGACGACAACGACCCGGACGTGCCGCCCCTTTCTATTGGCCGCCCCAGGCACCTGCTTCCTTTGCTGGTGCCTGGAGCCGGCCCTGGGAACAAGGACCCCCCTGGTACCTGGTGTTGACACCTGCTCCAGACATGCAATCTGTGCGCCTCAGCTCTGCACTCAGCTCCCCCAGCTGTGCACACACGTGGCCATCGGTAGCCAGCTGGGCATGTAGCTCTCCAGCCTGGGCATGACCTAGCTGGGCCTGTGTGTGTAGATCAGACACTCAGTTGCACACCTAGGTAATCTGGGAGCGTGCCCCACAGACGGATCACCACGTGGCTGCTGCCCCTCCCCATGGGGCCGTGGGGAAGGATTTATGGGGTTCACTCCCTGCTTTGTCCTCCCTTTCCCCCCGCTCTGACGGAGTCCCGGCACAGGTGTGGGTTATGTGAAAGAGCCCTCTCCTCGCCCTCTCCTGCGATGTCAGCCCTGGCTTTGTTATTACGTAGACGCTCCCGCACTCCCGGAGCAGTGTGTGCGAGAGCAAACAGCCTGTTGATTTACGGCTGCTCCACACCTTGCCTCATTGTTGACTCTGGACTTTAAATTACTTGACAATGTGCACAGGGACAGAGCTGCCAAACTCGGTGTGACCTCAGAGCCTCAAGAGCTTGCCCGGAGCCCAGGCGTGTGCCCAAAGCCTGTGCCGTGTCCCTGTGACACGGACACGTCTGTCTGCAGCAGAGGCTGTTTCCGTGTCCAATGTTGCCTGGAGCAAGTCAGTCTCTGGCTTTGCCTCAGTTTCCCCACCTGAGACGTGGGGATAAGGAGACGTGGACGTTCACCTACCATGCTCCATAACATGGAGTGACAACACCCTCCCTTACCTCTTGAGAGCACTGAGAAGCTGAATTCATTAAGGTCTGTGAACGGACTCTGCTACTGGGTGGCTACAGGGATGGGTGCAGCATCTGCTACTCCCATCCCAGTGCTCCCAGGCTTTTGGTTCAGCCGAACTGCTCCACTTCCCCTGACCTGGGACAGTGGGAACTGCTCTCAGCCCTGGGTGGGCTCACTGTATGCAGGGGAGCCCATCCCCGTGCTCTCCGAGGGCCTGTGATCATGTTAGCTCCATTGTGCTCCATCATGCCTTTAGCTACTATAGATTCTGCAGGTTCTTCCTGTCCCCTCCCAAACATGAGGCGGGAGCGTTGCTAGCACAGTGGCAGTTGCTTTCCACCCCGGAGGCTCCCGCAGCAGAGCTGTGCTTGAGTGATTCCCACAAGCCGTAGGGAGTCAGTGCGCCCCGGCCCCAACCCAAAGCAGGGAAGCGTCAGTGCAGGGGGGCGTTTCTAAGGGGGTTGCTAAGGGATCAGTTCTAGGCCCAACGCCATTCAACATTTTCCTGTTACCTCCCTCCCTGGAGAGAAAGTCCCAGGCATTGCAGGGCTGGTTAATCTGGTGGGGAACGGCAGAACAGGAGCCGGGGACTGGAAGTTAGACGGTCCAGTCAGGCGTAAGCCACAGACTGTTAACAGGGCAGGCAGCGATCAGCCACTGGACCAAACTCCCCAGGGAAATGTGGAGTCTCCTCTCGATGCTTCTCATGCAGGCTGGAGCCTTTCTGGGAGGTGCTTTAGTCAACCACAGGTGATTGGGGGCCGGGAGAAATTTGGTGGCCTGGGAGCTACCTGAGGTCAGACTGGATGATCTAAGGGGCTTTTTTGGCCTTAAGTTCTGTGACTTGATGAAATCACAGTCCTTGGGTTCCTGTGTCCAACCTGCTGCAGTTTGGGGGGACCCAGGCTGCTCCCGCTGCCCCAGCTCTCAGACACTGAGCCGTCCGCCTCGATGGGCCATGAGAGCACAGCTATTCAGCGCCACACTCGGCAATGCACAGAGCAGGTTCAGCCAGCGATTCTCCCGCTCACCAGGACGCAGCAGCCACTGAGATGTGCCACGCACAGAAACACCCCCGGGGGAGCTGCAAACCCCAGCTGCTCCCAAGAAACCTGCATAAGAAGCAAGTTCTTGAATTGCCTTGGCCCCCACCTGTCTGGGGGCCAGTGGTGGCCGTGGGGGGCTGCCCGGGAGCCGCAGCAGCTTGCTGTCAGCCTGCCCACTGGGTCCCTTCTGAGCTCTCACTTCCTGGTTCGCAGGCGGGCCAGAGCAGATACCTGATACCTGCGGATTGTGCAATGGAATGAAGAGGGAGAGCGACTCTCCTCTAAATCACCTGGGAACCAGTCCCCTCCCTCCCCAGCTGCAGCCCCACCTGTGGGAAAGCTTAAAGTCCAGCCTGTGTAGGTCTGGACAGTCGGAGCCGGCTCCCCACAGCACCATGGTGAAGTCCAGCAGCATCGTCCTCCTGGTGGGGCTCCTGGCGCTCTGGGCCGAGCTGCCGTCTGCATCTGGCCAGAACGTTACCAGTGAGTAGGAACGTCACGCCCCATCCCATGTCCCCGCCGAGAGCACCGGTCCTATGTACGCAGCCCTTCGGCTGGAGGGACCCCCCAGGGGAGAGGGTCTTGTGCATCGAGAGCCAGGATGGAGCCAGGACCTGGCCCCACATCCTCTAGCTTTCAGGTGCTCCAGGGCCTCTCGCCATGAACAATGTCTGTGAGCCCTGGTCCTCGGGGACAGGGGATGCATTCGCTGCCCTCCGGGCCCGCAGCCTGGCCCTCTCCCTGGGACCAGTGTGACCCTGGCTACACCGTGGGCCTTTCCCGTTTCAGAGAAAGAGGGCGTGTGCCCAGACACAGTGGTGGAGGCGGCTAACTGCACGGAGAAATGCCAGGCCGACAGCGACTGCGAGGAGAACCTCAAGTGCTGCCAGACGGGCTGCGGATGGTCCTGTCAGCTCCCCAATGGTAACGCGCCCCCTTAGCGCTCCTGCGTGTCGCCCGGCCCACTGTGTCCCCGCCGCTGCCCTGCCCAGGGGCTACTGGCTGGGAGCACTTTGAACTGGGCTCCGCCTTGCCCTGCCAGATGTGTTGAGCGGCCGGGATGTGCTGAAGTAGCAGGTGGCGCGGGCGGGGATGTGTGAAGGGAGCAAGGGCTGTCTGCAGGTCAGCTCCACCGCGCTGGGCTTCTGGTCAGAACCGATACTGCACCTGTACTAAGTGGTGGTACCCGCAGGCCCCAGGTGCAGGGAGGGCCCCCACCATGCCAGGCGCTGCACGGTTCCCAAGCTGGGGCCCTGGGTTGGGGCTGCACCGGGCGCTGCACGGGTCCCGAGCTGGGGCCCTGGGTTGGGGCTGCGCCGGGCGCTGCACCGTTCCCGAGCTGGGGCCCCGGGTGGGGGCTGCGCCGGGTGTTGCACGGTTCCCGAGCTGGGGCCACGGGTTGGGGCTGCACGGATCCTGAGCTGGGGCTCCGGGTGGGGGCTGCGCCAGGCGCTGCACGGATCCTGAGCTGGGGCTCTGGGTGGGGGCTGCACCGGGCGCTGCACGGATCCTGAGCTGGGGCTCTGGGTGGGGGCTGCGCCTGGCGCTGCACGGTTCCCAAGCTGGGGCCCCGGGTGGGGGCTGCGCCGGGTAGCTAATGTAACACCAATTTTTAAAAAAGGCTCCAGAGGTGATCCTGGCAATTACAGGCCGGTGACCCTAATTTCAGTACCGGGCAAATTGGTTGAAACTACAGTAAAGAACAGAATTATCGGACACATAGATGACCATGATTTCGTGAGGAAGAGTCAACACGGATTTTGTAAAGGGAAATCACGCCTCACCAATCTATTACAATTATTTGAGGGCGTTAACAAACATGTGGAAAAGGATGATCCAGTGGATATAGTGTATTTAGATTTTCAGAAAGCCTCTGACGAGGTCCCTCCCCAAAGGCTCTTAAGCAAAGTAAGTTGTCATGGGAGAAGAGGGAAGGTCCTCTCATGGACCAGTAACTGGTTAAAGACAGGAAACAAAGGATGGAAATAAATGGTCAGTTTTCACACTGGAGAGAGGTAAATAGCAGGGTCCCCCAGGGGTCTGTACTGGGACCGGTGCTATTCATCATGTTCATAAATGAACTGGAAAAAGGGGTAAACAGTGAGGTGGCAAAGTTTGTAGATGACACAAAATTATTGAAGAGAGTGAAGTCGAAAGCTGACTGCGAAGAGCTACCAAGGGATCTCACAAAAAGTGGCAGATGAAATTTAATGTTGATAAATGCAAAGTAATGCACATTGGAAAACAGAATCCCAACTACACATAACAATGATGGGGTCTGAATTAGCTGTTACCACTCTATGTGCAGCGGCAGTCAAAAAAGCGAACGATGTTAGGAACCATTAGGAAAGTGATAGATAATAAGACAGTAAATATCATGATGCCTCTATATAAATCCATGGTATGCCCACATCTTGAATACTGCGTGCATTTCTGGTCACCTCCATCTTAAAAAAGAGAGATTAAAACTGGAAACGGTACAGAAAACGGCAACAAAAATGATTGGGGGTATAGAAGAGCTTCGATGCGTGAGAGATTACAAAGACTGGGACTGTTCAGCTCGGAAAAGAGACGACTAAGGCAGGATGTGATAGAGATCTATAAAATCTTGACTGGGGTGGAGAAAGTGAAGTGTTATTTACCTTTTTGTATGACACAAGAACCAGGATCACCCAATGAAATTAACAGGCAACAGGTTTAAAACAAACAAAGGGAAGTATTTCATCACCCAACGCACAGTCAGCCTGTGGAACTCCTTGCCAGGGGATGTTGTGGAGGCCAGAAGTATAACTGGGTTCAGCAAAGAATTAGCTAAGTTCCTGGAGGACAGGTCTATCAATGGCCATTAGCTAAGATGGTCAAGGACGCAACCCTATGCTCTGGATGTCCATAAGCCTCTGATTGTCAGAAGCTGGGAGTAGATGACAGGGGATGGATCACTTGATAATTGCCCTGTTCTGTTCACTGCCTCTGAAGTATCTGGCATTGGCCATTGTCGGAAGACAGGATACTGGGCTAGATGGACATTGGTCTGACCCACTATGGCCGTTCTGATGGTCTTCTTAGGTGGGGCCCTGGGTGAGGCACAGACTCAGGCAGACAGGCATGTCTGAAGGCAGTTTGTAGTCTCCTGCACAGAAATGCACGGCCCCATGTTCCCGAGCCCCCTCCTGCCCCCTGGGATCTGCAGTTACTCTGAGCAGAAGTTGCCCAGCCTTTGCTCGGTTTTGAGCCCGGTTTGGCTGGGAAGCAGACTGCAGCCTGGGATCGGGCTCTGCTGTAACTTACACGCCTGTGCGGCAGGGAGGCAGGAGGGCCCCAGTGAGGGGAGTGGAGTTACAGTGCCGTTAAACTAGTCTGAGACCCCCAGTCAGGCCCTACAGATCCACACATGCAATGTGCCAGGCTGACTGCTCAGATCCAGTGGGCACAGGGCAGCTGCACTTTGCCCCACATGCTCTGGAAGCTGTGGCAGGCAGCCCCCCACCCACCGACCTGTGCCCCACAGGGAGCCAGGAAGCCCTTGTGCTCTGCCTGTCAGTCACCACAACAGGCCAAGGAGAGTCAGGAACTGCTTATATCTGCTCCTCCAACCTCCGGCCCCCTCAGAGCACTCCAGCAAACTGTGCAGCCTCCTTCCAGCCGAAGGGAGGCCAGCAGAGACGTGTTTGGGCTTCAGGAAACCAGGAGTCCCTTCTCCCCAAGCCCATGTATATTGCTTGCTGCACCTCTGTGAGACTCGGTCCCATCTCCAGGCTGGGGACACACCATGCTGGTGGGCCGCTGATTACAGTGGACGAGAAGCTGGATATGAGTCAGCAGTGTGCCCTTGTTGCCAAGAAGGCTAACAGCATATCGGGCTGCATTAGTAGGAGCATTGCCAGCAGATCGAGGGAAGTGATTATTCCCCTCTACTCAGCACTGGTGAGGCCACATCTGGAGTAATTGCATCCAGTTTTGGTCCTCCCAATACAGAAGGGAGGTGGACAAATTGGAGAGAGTCCAGCGGAGGGCAATGAAAATGATTAGGGGTCTGGAGCACATGTCTTATGAGGAGAGGCTGAGGGAACTGGAGTTATTTAGTCTGCAGAAGAGAAGAGTGAGGGGGGATTTGATAGCAGCCTTCAACTACCTGAGGGGGGGTTCCAAAGGGGATGGAGCTCGGCTGTTCTCAGTGGCGGCAGATGACAGAACAAGGAGCAATGGTCTCAAGTTGCAGTGGGGGAGGTCTAGGTTGGATATTAGGAAACACTATTTCACTAGGAGGGTGGTGAAGCACTGGAATGCGTTACCTAGGGAGGTGGTGGAATCTCCTTCCTTGGAGGTTTTTAAGGCCCGGCTTGACAAAGCCCTGGCTGGGATGATTTAGTTGGGAATTGGTCCTGCTTTGAGCAGGGGGCTGGACTAGATACCTCCTGAGGTCCCTTCCAACCCTGAGATTCTATGATCCTATGAGAGCAATGCCTGAGGGTGAGGAATTGCCAGGAGCCAAGAGGGATCAGGATGGTCCCGTCTGACATACAAGTCAGTGACTCTGTAAGAACGGGAACACTCCAGCTACTTGCCGTGCTAGGGAAAGCGTCTGCCTGGGGACAATCCCCAGCGAGGGGAGCCCTGCCTAGGGGATCTTTGTCCGGGGAAAAGGCAACACCGCATTTATTGAGCACGAGTGAGGAGCTGGGCTCTGTCGGTCGCGATCCGATGCTCCGAGGCTTTGCAGGACTGAACCCAGAGCTCAGAGCTGGCAAAACACCCCAGCTTGATACTTGTCAATTCCCACTTTAGTCTATGGATTTTGCAATGTCATTCTGTAATCGTTAGTCCTTAAGTGGAGTTCATCTTGGGGTTTTCCGCTGTTATATCTTATTTGTTGTCTTGCCAACGGGGGCGTTTGCCTCACCTTTGAGGTTGTCGATGCTGCTAACTCGTTTAGCATCAGATACAATGGATGTTTTCTGATTGTTTCCTGCTGACTCTCCGAGTCTCTCACTTCTTCTTGACCATCTGGACATTTGTGAGGCTTTCACACTCGTCCTTAACCATCCACACGTCCTTTCCTCACCCCAAACAATTGTACAGAGAATTTCAGACAGGATTCCATTTTCGAAAGGGTTCTATGGTTACTAAAGGGATTACAAAAGAACCTTACACAACTTTGTTTGCAATGCAGATAAGAAACAAGACCTTCTAGCAAATACTGTAATGAAAACTTATCCTAAAACAAAAGGACATAATCAGCCATAGGGACTGTTCTGGTCTGTTCCTGCCTTAACATCAGTTCAGACACAGGCAGCCTATGGCCATTGCTTTCTGCTATTCAAAAAGAGTGGCTGGCAGGATATGGTCAAATCATACATCAGTACATGCTACATTATTATATCCTTCATTCTAAATTATCCAAAATACAAACATAAAATCCTACTACTACATATCCCCCTTTTGACCCCTCAAGAACACTTCTTGACTGGGTCATAGTTTATACAATTGTTTCATAGCAATCTACTGAGAGACAATTTGAGCTTGTGGTTGTAATTTAATAAACATTCTGTTTGTCCAACAGCACATATAACACATTCCTAGCAAGCAAACACAAACACAACTAGTAATGGGTGAAACATAATAGACAATAGGCCCTTAGAGGTCGGGGACAAGCCTGTAAAAATGTTGTACCAGTGGTAGGCTGTCAGTTCTTTTTCAGATTTAGCGATTTTTAGCATGTCTCTATTTGCATGTAATATTTGAATGACACGCTTCCCTATATCCCTCTGTGTCTGTTGTAAAAACTGAGCCACCTTGTTTCTGATAACAAGTGATCAGTTAGATCACGCCAATCCAGGCCATGGGTAACAAAGAAATTAACCGGGGTAGCTGTTATAGTGCTCTGTGCTTCTTCTATCTTTGGTACATAGTACGTGTGATTGCTA